ATCTCCAAGGACTGGTAATGTTCTGTTTCTTGATTTAATGGCGGCTATATGGGTATACCTTTACTTTGTGAAAATTCACCAAGTTGAACAAACCCTTTTGGTTCTGCACTTTTCTTTGTGTATATTATAATGCAAGAATTAGATTTATTTTTAAAACGAGAAAGGGATATACCTTATCAGAGATATGACTTGAAAAAATATACAAAGGCAAATAATGATGTTGGGTGAGTGGGTGGATTGGTGGACAGATAATTGGTGGATAAATGGATGGACTACCAAATGAACAATTGATAGACTCACATCCTGTAATACTATTTGAACAAAGACAGCTGTTGACACCTGAAACCCCCACCCCATAGGATATAAGGGCTACGGGGGTACGGCTGGGCTTCAGCAGGACCCATACCAATGGCGTCACCGGAGAGTTTCCAAGCCTTGACATTCCAGTCCTGGCCAGCACTGATCACCAGCTGGAAGCTGTTCACATACAGGATGTCGGACACACTATCCAAGTGGCCCTTCCAGGCGATCAGAAGCTTGGGGGGAACCAGGGAAATGGTCTGGCCAGCCACAACCTACAGGGGAAAGTACAGGAGAACTACTTATAGCAAAACCATCACACAGGCTCGTCAGAGGGCACCCAGGACTGGAGGCAGCAGAGCCCTCAGAAAGGACCCTGGACAGAGGCCAGGGCTCTAGTTCTAGGCACATTCCCCCATTAACTTTCTGGTGACCTTAGGTAAGTTCCAGCACTTCTCTGGCCCTCACTGGCCCCTTTGGTAAGATCACAGAAAGTATTTGCATACTGCTGTATTATTTTCCTTCAGGAAGGAATAAAGAGCACCAGAAATGGGAAATGAGTGTGCAAATATAAAAAGAAATCAACTGTTTACAGTAACATTAACAACAATGCCTTGTGGGAAGTCATAACCTATGTAAAAGTGAAATATATGCTAGCAGTAGCATTAACAGCAGGAAGGGGAATGTAAGGTTCTTACATATAAAGTGGTATCACATCAAGCATGCATATTATAATCTATAGGGTAACCACTAAAAGAATAATATGAAAACATACAATTAAAAACAGAGGACTAAAACAGGGTAATTTTTAAAATACTTGTTTAATCCAAAAGAAGACAGAAAAGGAAGAATAAAGGAACAAAGAACAGACGGTATAAACAGAAAACAAATATCAGACTTAAACGATATAAGTAATTTCATTAATATTTAAATGGGTTAAACATCCAATTAAAAGGCAAAGATTGTTA